TGTTCAAGGGATGTGCAGGTTTGCAAGTTCTCTGGCAAAAACGTGCAAATTCTGGCTTTTTTTTTAAGGAAGCAGATCCCTTCCCTCTGTTAGGGATTGGACCAGAGCCAATAGTGATGGGGTGTTGGTGTTAGCAGGAGATGTGCTGGTCACTGCACATCAGCCTCAAAGGTTTTGTTGGGCCACTGCCCAGCAGGGCTGCGTTCCATCCTGCTGCCCTGCCAAACTATAGAGAGCTATAACAAGAAAAAATGGCAGGGGTGTTCAAAAATTTGCTCTTGGTGGTACTTTTATTCATTCTGATCTGACATGGATTTGAGTCTTTGAAAGAGTGGGGTGAATTCCTTCTTCCTTGGCAGGAGACTGGCAGTATTAAGCAGGACAGTGTGGCCCTGTGGAAGGTTTTGGACTTTCCCTTTGCGGGCTGTGTTGTTTTGCTCATCCAGTGCAGCTCTGCCACGGGGTGTGATGCCACAGAAGCTGCTGGAGGTGGTGGGGTGATGCTGGGCTTGGCTGGAGGGAGCTGCACCCCACCATGCTGCTGAACTGGGCTGATTCACCTTGTCCTGCCACAGGTGTGTGTGTTTGGTGGAATGAGTTGCTTTGAGCCCCCCACAGCTCCATGAGCTCACCCTGGGAACTGTAAAAGCAGCATCTTGGCTGCCTAGTGGCCATTATCACTGCACACCCATGATGTCCCCTGGTCTGCTGGCTGGTGGCATGCCCCTTGTTTGGCAGCACCTGGGAGGCAAAACAGAGCTGGGTTTTTCCTCTTCCCTCCCCAAAGTTGCAAAAAACAGCAGAAACATTTCTCTTGTGGGTGTGAGATGAGCATGGTGCTTAAAGTTTCCCTGGTGCCCCCAAATCTTTGTGCCTTGGCCAGGCACTGGACCCTCCAGGGTGCAGGGGGGAACCTGCTGCCCCTCACTGCCTCTCTGTGGCTTGTTGCACACACAGCCCTGAGCTGAACTGAACCCTGTTTGTTCAGGGCCATTCAGGTCCCCACCTCCGGCTCAAAGGCAGGGCCTGCTCCAGGCTGCTCCGAGGAAGGTGCTTGCAAATAAGGAAGGTGCTTGCAAACCTGTTCTCCCCTCCTCCTCCTCCTCCCCCCAAGCTCTGTCCCTCTTACTCAGGGAGCCTGGCGTTTCCCAAGACAGGAAGCAGCCATCAACTGCTGGCTTAGAGCAACGGGGTGGCACTTCCCGCTCTCTCCCCACGCAAGGAGAAGCAGGTGAAGAATGGTGGTGGGGCGGGAGGACTCCTTTGCCCTGTGCCGTGCCAGCACTTGGATCCTGCACTGTGGGAGGAATAAGCAGGGCAGGGGCCCTGACAGCAGGTATGGTAGAAAAGCTGCAGGTTTGGGGTCCCACTGGGGCCAGGATCTCACAGGGAGCTACAGGAGTGGGGCAGGATGCGGCAGCCCCCTGTGCCTTCATCTGGCTTCCCGGTCAGTGCCTGGCCTTGCCACTGCTTCCCTGCGGTGCTCTCCCCGCAACAACTCTAAAGCAAGGCTCAAATGTGCCTATTCCTTAGGCTGTTGCAGGGATCAGCTGAGGTTTTTATCACCGTCTGCTGAGAGTTATGACCAGATACCTGAAGGAGCTGGAGAGTTAGGTCTGGAGTCACTTGCTCAGCAGAGATGCGTGCCCATGTGCTCCAGACATCAGAAGGACTTCTGGGTGTGACAGAGGCTTTTTAGGGGGTGGATCAGCCCAGAGCTTTACAGGACATGGGTGTGTTTCCTCAGGGAGATTCTGTGCTTGGCACGTACCACCCCAGCCCTCCCAGCTAGTCTGACCTTTGAAAGGTCACAGGACCAAGCTAAACTCGGTGCTGACTAGCAACCCCTTTGACTTGGTAAGAGTTGCAAAGGGTGTAAATGAAGCTAGAATTTGGCCCAAGGTGTGGAAGTTTAGAGGGGGTTGGCTCAAGATGCCCCATGGACTGAGATGCTGGAAGGGAATTGGGTGGAGGTTGGCACCTGTGCCTCTGCCCAGCTCAGCAGGGCTCTGCCCCAATTCCCAAGCACTTTCCTGGTTTTCCAGGCCCCCAGCATGTCCTCCCAGCATGACTGACTTCATGTTCACTGCGATCCCATGCACGTCTTCATCTTGTTGTATGGGTCTCCTGCTGGCTGCCCTGTGCAGTTCACCAGGTGCCTGGTGGGTTGTCACAGTATGGTCACAGGGCCACCTTCCCAGGAGAGACTTGGCCTTTCTGAGGAACACAGCTGGGAACATTTTGGGAGGTGCAACATTCAGAAGCTCGGGCTCTTCATGGCACCTTTACATCTCTTCGTGGACAGAGCATGCTCCACACTAACTAGCCCTTACTGCAGGAGCAAGAAGCCCAGCCTGTTCCCATGACTTCCTTGCTTTGAGGAATGGGTTTCTAATGCTTTTAGGTCAAGTTAGCAGATGTCTTCCTCCTGCTCCACTGATGCCCAGAAGAAGCTCTTGTATCAGAAGAGCTCTGCTGGTGCAGGTTGTCAATGACTTCTGCAAAGGGATGTTTTGCCCACCTTGCTTTTGGCCAGAGGCACATGGTGATTTGAGAAACTGAGAATGTCTGGCATTTCTTCTTGAAAATAACAATGAAGAGCCACACCGTTTTGGAGGAGCAACATGATATCATTAGGAAGACCAACTCCATTTTCTCGTTGTTTAGCAATGCACTCCGAGCCACAGTGCAAAAGGCCATGGCTCTGGGCATATCATGTGATGGTGGTAATGAACCAGGCCAGCCCCCCATAAAGGTCTGGGGAAATGGGAATGCATTTAACCTCCTCTCTTACTTGTTTCCCTGGCTGACATGTAGTCCTCACTCTTGGCAAGTCTTTTTTTATCGTTTATCCGGCATCTTTGGAGTGCAACCACCAAGTCAGCTAAAACACAAATATCTGACTCAAGGAGGACAAAACTGAACCAGCAGCTCTTGCCCTGATCAGTAACGGTCTTCATGATAACATGATATGTTAATGAAAGACACACAGAGGTTCCTGGGCTCCTTTTTTAGGTGGAGGATGCACTGGAAGAGAAGAACAACTTCTTTTTGCTTCAGGTGCAGTGTCCTCCCTGCCTGGCTCATGCTGCTGTGACACCCGCCTGGTTCCCCCACCTCTGCAGAAGGCATCTTTCTGGCTCATTATTCAACTCCTGTGTGTCTGAGCTGGTGTCAGCCATCGTGTGAGGTTCCTGTCTCCTATCTTGGCTTCTTAAGGTGTTTCCAGTTCCAAAACTGAGAGCTTGGGGAGCTTGGTTTGCCACATCTTTTGGATGTGGAGTGATTGGACATGGACTGGACCCTGGTGGAGACAGTGTCCCTGGCTTCTTCATCAGTGGGTCACCTGTGCTGGTAGATGTGCCTTTGAGCTGGGTCGCCCTGTGGGGAGGGTGGTGGAAAGTCCTTCCCCACAGTGACAGAGCTGACCATTGAGAAAAAATGCAAGGGCGGGGGCAGGTCCCCACTGTGTCTTTGGCTGAGGTGGTGGAGAGGAGCACTGGGAGGGGGTCTAGGTGCTGGTGTGAAGGGACGACGCTGCATAAGACCTCTGACCATTCATGTTTCCTTGTTTTCCACCTGGAAGCATTCCTGATGGTAGGCAGGGCTGGGTCCCAGGTCTCACCATATGTGGGCAGGAGCTGAGGGGCTGGCAGAAAAGGGCACGAGGCCGGCCACATCACCAACACTGGGGCTCTGGCACCACTGGGAGAGGTGATGAGGGTGTGGGGTGTCCGTAATTGCCTGGGTCTGCTTCTCAGCACCAGGAGGAAGGGGCATGAAGGTTTGACATGCAGCAGAGGAGGACCATGGATGATCCCCACTGCAGCCTGGTGGGGCAGGACAGCAGAGCTGCTCACTACGGCAGTCTGAGTGAGGAGGCCATTGAAATCCCCCAGGTGGGTGGCAGCAGCCTGTCCCCCTCACAATCAAGCTGCCTGCAGAATCGCTGCTCTCATTGCCCCATATGCTTTACTTCCAGCCCAGTGACACAGCCCTGGGCCAGAAGAGCATAGCCAATGTCTTCAGCAATGGCTGTACAAGGATAGGTGAGGGAGAAAGGCTGGTCTTTGGGGTCAGTTCCTTTCTATGTTGCCGAGAAGGCTGGGGCTGGATGGAGTTTGCTGGGTTGAGGAGGATGGGGAAAGCACCAGGGCTCCACAGCTGGAGCTGATGGCAGCAGGTCCTGCTGACTGTGGCTGGTCTGTACAGTACATCCAGAGGGCATCAGACCTCCTGCAAGCCCTGGCAGGCACTGCCCTGCTCAGGTGCTCAAGACTTTCCCTTCTGCAAGATTGCTGTGGTCCTCAACTCATGTTAATAGGTGCTTCTAGCTTCCTGTCTCCCGTGCTAGAAACACCCAAGTGAGGTGGCAGACAGTCCCTTCCAGAACAAGTGTGTCCTCCCCTCAACTCCTGGTTTTACTTACAAGACAACACCCAGCCCCATGAGAGCACCGAGTCCTGCAGGACACGCAGGATGGGGATGGCTCTGGGATCTGCTGCCCTTCTGGCCATGGGGTGGACATGAACTCTGTTTCTTTGCTGCAGACTTTGTCCTGGCGTGGGAAACCGTCCCCTGGGAGCTGAGTGGGCAGCAGGAAGAACAGGGGCTTGCAGGAGAGATCTTCTACCATCCACGGGACCTGGCAGAAGAAGTTTCTGGACAAGCTTCATGCTACTAGGATCCTCATGGAAAAGGTACCTGGGGACCTCACCTCAAATTTCTACCCCTCTGTGATAACCGCAGCCTTGCTCTGTGAATCGGGAGGAGGGATGCCATGCTGTGGGGACCCTTGCATGGGAGGGGTGCCTGGGCTTGTGGGCAGCTGAGCTGGAGCGTGGGGTGGGATGTGCTTGTGCTCTTCTCCACTGGGTCAGCTCTGCCAGGCTGATCCACACCAGTGTGGAGTCACCCTAGTGCCTCCCACAGGGACCTGTACTAGTGCCAGCAGCCTTATGTCTGCTGGGGTCCCCTTCACCCAGCAGCACATGACCCACATGGAGAAGAAGGTGGTGCATTACCTGCTGCTGAGCACACCCTGGAGCGTGGTCTGCTGCTACGCCAAGGAGCTCCAGCTCCATGTGCCACTGCAGGTGAGGGGCTGCAGTGCCTGAGCTCCCTGAAGTCAGGGGACAGTGCCCTCAGCACTCCTGGGTACCCCACACTGGGTAGTGGGGTACAGCTGCTTGCTGGGTCTCTGATGGGGTTTGCATCTTCCTTGCTTTCTGGTAGACCCGGCAGTTCCCAGTCATCGGTCTTGTCCCATGCATGGTTATGGGATCCCACCTCATTCCCTTTCTGAATTTCTCCTCCAGCGCCCCATCCCCTCTTTCTCTGGCCCTTGAAGAACAGGCTCTCTCATTCAGCACAGCCCAGGCACTATTTCCCCCTGGCTTGGCTGCTGTCCTGCTCCCGTTCCCTCTTCCTGAGATATTTCCACTGCCCATACAGGCGCTGCCCAGACAGACCTCCAACTGGTCGGCCAGTGTGCTGCAGCGGCTAGGCATCTGCAACAATTGGGGGCCCAGGAGGTTTCCAACCTGCCACTGGACTACTACACCTGCCCCTTCAAGGCCAACAAGCTGCACTGGTGAGCGCCCCAGGAGGGTTGGGAGGTGGCCCCCAGCCGGCAGGCACTGCGGGGATGGTGCCACACCCTCTGCAGAGCACCAGGCTCTGCTAAGCTGCTCCTCTGTGCCCTTCCAGGTTCCTGGGGAATGATGAGCAGGACACCTTCCTCTCCACCACCCAGCGGCACCAAATTGTGAGCACCAGGGATACCGTGGCCTCTCTTCCCTGATCCCGGGTGGGCTGCAGGGTCTTGAGTGCTGTGAGTAGGTGTGTTGTCATGTGTCATGTGTTGTCACGGTCTCAAAGGTCCCAGACTGGGTCACTGTCTGCTAATAACTCCAGAGGGGATTAAAAGGCTTGGGTGGAAACCTTCCTCCAGCATCTGGGAATAAGGCTTGGAGCTGGTAGCCAAAAAGCTGACTTATGGTGGGGACCTCTCTCCCCATTGCAGGGGATGGCTGCATCCCCCTCACCCCTGCTGGCATTGCCCCCACAGCTCTATGAGATCCTGGCCATGACACAGTACAGCCACTCCAAGGAGTAGAAGGTGGGGGTGGACTGGCTGCTGAGCGAGAATGTCTTCACAGCTGCCTTCCCTCTGCATGAGGCAAGACATCGCCATCCTGCAGGGAGCCATGCTGCTGCTGGCCCCACACCCCTGGCCAGCCCCTCGCCCACCCCCTGCCTCTCCCTGCAGGGTCCCTACAAGCTCCGGCCGGAGGAACTGGCCGCTGGCAGCCTCAGACAGTGCCAAGTCCTCTTCCAGTACTGGGCCAGCTGGGGGAAGTGGAACAAGTACCAGCCACTGGATCACGTCCGCAAGTACTTTGGGGAGGAGGTTGCTTTCTACTTCGCCTAGCTGGGTGAGTCCTGCCGGTCCAGAGCAGCCCTCAGCTCACCCAGGGAACAGCCTCATGGCATGGAGTAAGGGGCTGCTGGCAGCAGGTGGCAGCTCCTGGCTGCCCCAGGATGTGGATGCAGCTTTGCCCCAGGATGCTCTCAATTTCAAGAGTGGTGGCACCATGAGCTGTGCCCCATGTGTCCTAAAAGGACTAGCCAGAGCCTGAGGGGTAGTTTGCAGCCCCAGGTCTGTGCTCATGTCCTCCAAACCACGCATGGTTTTAGGCTCGTGCTATGCTGGGCTTAGGCATGTGTAGTCCTCAGTGGTTGGAGGCCTGCAGGACTCACGGTCTCTGTCCCCGCTGTCATCAGGCTTCTATACAGGATGGCTCTTGCCTGCCACAATGGTGGGGACAGTGGTGTTCATTGTGGGCGTTTTCCTGATGTTCAAAGACGTACCTTTGTAAGTGCCCTGACTTCCCTGCTCACACCTTCCCCTGGGCCGTGCTCCCTTCGTGCCCAGGGTGGCAGGGAGGAGGGCAGGGGTGTCCCTGCATCCTGATGTGCTGGTGCTGACTGGCTGCTGGGGCTTAGCCACAGCACTCGGTACAAAAGTGCCCGTGAATGGTCCAACGGGGAGCCATGGGAAAGGCTGAGTCCCAGCAGGCTGCTGACTGCTCCTTCCTTGCTAGTAGGCAGGAGATCTGCATGAGCAAAGAGTACTGGATGTGTCCCCTCTGCAAGACCTGTCCCTACTGGCAGCTCTCTAAAATCTGCAGTATGTTCTTGGTGAGGTCCTGGAGGGCAGCTCAGGGCCCGGGTCGAGATCTCCATCCCAATGTTAGCCCATGTCATCCCAGTCCGCCTCCCCACCCGGCCCCTGCTGCCCCAGTGTTTCCTCTCCCACCCATCTTCCCACCCCTCCCTCCCCAGCGAAGCCTCCCAGGTGGCCCCTTCCACCTTCCCTCCCTGCCTGCCCCATGGCTTGAGGACACCAAGGGCCTGGGACTCGCAGCTGTGGAGAGGGCAGCCCCTGCTGCCTTGCCTGGTCTCCTGCCTGTCCCTCAGACCTGCTTTGCCCACAGGCAGGACAGCTCTTTGACCATGGTGGGACCATCTTCTTCAGCATCTTCATGTCCCTGTGGGCAGTGCTGTTCCTGGAGTTCTGGAAGCAGACCAATGCATCCCTGGCTCACCACTGGGACTGCCCTGAGTTTGAGGACATCGAGGTGGTGTCTGGCCCTCTGCAGCACCTCCCAAAACCGCATGGAACAAAGCCACAGGGCACCCCTAATGCCTTTCCCCCTCTTTCCCAGGAGCAGCCGTGGGCCCCAGTTCATGGCCACAGCTCCCATGACAATAATAAACCCTATAACAGGTGTGGAGGAGCCGTATTTCCCCAAGCACAGCCACCTCCACTGGATTTTGGCTGGCTTGATGGTCATTATAATGATGGTAAGATTGTGGAGGCTGGAGCAGCATCTGCCCATCATCTGTCCCGGGGCAATGGGACATGGTGGGATGGGATCAGTTTGGGGTAAGAGAGCATGGGTTAAGCTGGGGATGAACACACGTGTCCCTGGCCTATGGTGGAACCTGTGGCTGTCTGCTAACTCAGCCTGCACCCCACTGTGCCCAGGCTCAGCTGCCCACCCCGGAACTCCCCTGGGACTCATAGTGCTCTGGGTTAATGGTGGAGTTTTCCTTCCCATCACAAGCTGCTCATACCTCATATGCTGTGCTTGCAGATTGCCATCGTGGTGATGTTCATGGTCTCCATTATCCTCTACTGGGCAATGGTCGCCATTCTCCTCTCCAGCTCAGGGTACTTCTGGTTTGTGGCTTCGGTAAGAGGTGGCCAGAGCCACCCCTGGACCTGCTTCGCTTTCTGGGCTTGCTTGCCATCCTCTGTGCTCTGTGTGTTGCTTCTCCCTGTAGGCATCCCGCATCACCAGCATCACCGGCTCAGTGGTGAACCTCAACTTCATCCTCATCCTCTCCAAGATCTGTATTTCCCTGGCTCATTTCCTTACCAAGTGGGGTAAGCTGGTGAGGGTCCTGCAAGCCAGACAGTGATGGAGGGAGTGGTCAGTAATGGCAGAGCACCAAACCCAGTGAGCTTGCTGCTGGGTTGTGAGCTTCATCCGCAGCCCCGGAGGGAACGCTGGCTGACACTCAGGAGGACGACAGCTTATGGAGGAGAGGAGAGCTGGGAAAATAAGACCTTCAGTGAAAAGTGACTGACTTTTGAGCTGACTTTTGAGCTGACTTTTGAGGTCTGGGGGAGAAAAGCATGTGGGATATTTTTGTTGTATTTAATGAGACACAAAGCCTGTTTGTACTGAGCGGAGGAAGATTCTTTTTTGGTGCAAAGGAGATGGGTGTCTCCAGGCTCTGGATGAGTGGCAGGTGCCTTCATGGGTACCGCAGCAGGTTTGGGGACCCCAGGCTGCGGGGGATTGGTTAGATTCAAGCGATGCAGAGTGACTTCCATGATGATGTGGAAGAGCATTCTGGAGTGGTGTAGGGCCATGTCCCTGTGCTTCCCCCTGGCAGAGATGCACCACGCCCAGACCAAGTATGAGAATGCCTTCACTTTCAAAGTGTTCATCTTCCAGTTTGTCACCTTCTACTCATTTCCCATTTACATCGCCTTCTTCAAGGGCAAGTAAAGCCTTTTCAGGGAGCAGGGGTCTTCCCCATCTCCTGCAGCCCCTGCGGCCTCCAGGCTTTGTTGCTGGGGAGTGCTGCTGCCATCAGGGGCAAGAAGCACTGCAGTGGGGGCAGGGACAGTCCCACCAGAGAGTGGGAGCCCTCACAGGGCCATGGGACACCTGGGAATGAGGGCAGTGCCAGCCTGCTGTGGGCTAACTGGTGCAGCTGGTCCCAGTCTGGGACTGGGGGACTCCCTCCATCAGAGGCAACCACTGCCAGCCCTTTTGTCCCCCTTGGTGAGGGAGAAGAGGGCTCTGGGTGGACCAGAAAAAGCCCTTCCTTCCCTGGGGCCACTCTGGACGTATTCCTGGGTTCAGCACCTGGGGTCTCTGCTTGCGGCTCTGCCGCAGCTCCCACAGGTTCGTTGGCTACCCTGGGAATTACCTGAGCTTTCTGGGGATCCACAATGAGGACGTGAGTGCTGGGTGGGAGAGACTCCATGCCTGCTACCCCAGCCGGTGCATGCTGCGGGGACACTTTCCCATGCTCAGGGTCCTCCCAGCCCTGTGTGCTGGACCCGGCAGGCTGAGGGCTCCTCTCTCCCCGCAATGCAGCTCAGGCGGGTGCTTCATTGAGCTGGCACAGGAGCTTCTGGTCATCATGGTGGGGAAGCAGATCATCAACAATGTGCAGGAGGTGGCCATCCCATGAGTATGCTGTGGCTCACCAGGGCCATTGTGTACCCCTGAGCCTGCACAGCACAGGGGCTTCAGGGCTCTGCCGAGGGGGTGTTGAGTGGTGCTGGCTGGCTGCACTGGGGGACACGGCCCCTCTTGTCTCCCCAGGAAACTGAAGTGCTGGTGGCACAAAAACAAGCTCCTCTCCACTAAGAAGATGGGTGAAGAGGGGGAGTCAGTCCTGGTGGAGCAGGTGCCCTGGGTGATGGACCACCAGCTGCTGATGTTCGAGGGGCTGTTTGATGAGTACCTGGAGATGGGTAGGGACTGGTCTTGGGGTGGGGAGGGCTGAAGCACTAGGAGAGAGATAGACAGTGGGGAGAGGCAGGAGCTGCAGGGGCTCCCCAGAGGAAGGGACCAGCCATGGGAGCTTTTGCCCCAAGCAGCCTGCAGGTGCTGGAGGGAGAAGGGCTTTCCTGCCCCCCGCGGGATAAGGCTGGGAGATGCCACAGCTGCCGCTGCCGCCTCTCAGCCTGTCCCTCCCTGCTCGTCCTCCTCCTCTTCTTCCTCCCAGTCCTGCAGTTAGGCTTCATCACGATCTTTGTGGCAGCCTGTCCCCTGGCACCCCTCTTCGCTCTGCTCAACAACTGGGTAGAGATCCGCCTGGATGCCCACAAGTTTGTCTGTATCCACCAGCGGCCCATGGCTGAGCGGGCACAGGGCATTGGCATCTGGTTCTCCATCCTGGAGGCCATCACTCACCTGGCCGTCATCAGCAATGTACGCTGGGCAGGCAGGCAGGTGGTGAGGGGGCTGCAAGTGGCGTAGGGGAATTAGGGAGAAAAGCTCGTTTGGCCACTGCAGGATGCTGAGTGATGAGGGGAGCTGCAGTGCCTTTGCAGAAGGCAGCCACCTTTGCAGAAGGTGCAGTTCCAACCATGGGCAATAGGAAGTCATCACCCTCTGGGGCATGCAGACCTGCTTGGGTTTAACTGAGGGGTGAGAGCAGGACACAGAGCCATGACCAGCAAGCTGCTGTCTAAGACCGAGTGGCATTCGTGTTTGGTTTGTCAGACTGAGGGCAAGGAGAGGCGGAAAGCCACCTCAGAAGCACAGGGCATGGAGGAGGTCTTGCCAGTGGGGCTGCAGTGTCACCCGGCTGCAGGACCTGCTGCAACACATCTCCCCTGCTCCCAGGCCTTCCTCATCGCCTTCACCTCCGATTTCCTGCCCTGTGTGTACTATGAATACATCCATGACAGCAGTCTGTGTGGCTATGCAAACTTCACCTTGGCATACACACCGTGAGACTTTGTCCTGCAGAGCAACACCACATGCAGGTGGGAGCCCCCATCCCACCTTGTCTGGCTCCTCTCCTTGTTTGCTTAGGCTTGGATTTGCTTTTGTCTGCCACCACCACAGCAAATGTTTTGTTTAGCACAGCGGCCTTTAGCCGGGTCCAGGTTGTCCACCGACTTTCCTGAGGTCCTTGGGGCCCTCACTCATCCCAGGGCTGAGCATGTGTCAAATGTGCCCATGCATGGGTTAATGTGGGGGGGATTGCTTGCCCAGCCTGACCCCGGGCTGGAGCAAAAGCTACTCAGTCATGGAGGGAGGCGCTTTTGCAAAAGAAGTCCCCCGGGGCCAGGCTACCTGCAGCTGGCTGGGTCCCAGCAGAGGCTGGCCAAGGGCTGGTTTTGCTGCGCTCTAGCATGCCGGGCTGGGAGCTGCGATCAGAGAGCTCCTGCAGCAATGCACAACAGTGATGTCTGCTGTGAAGCAGACAGAGGCAGTTAACAGCTGCACTTTGCTCCCATAGATACAGAGCGTTTAGGGATCAGGAATGGCAACTTGATCTTGACTTACTGGCAGCTGCTGGCCATACGCTTGGCCTTCATCATCATGTTTGAGGTACCAGCTGCTGAGCCCTGCAGGGTGCCCCAGGGCACTGTGCTAGGGCAGGGGGTGAGGACCTGCCACCTCAGCCAACCCGTGTGTCCCTGATCACTTCCAGCACGTGTTTTTAGCGAATGTGTGATTGCGTAGCTGGTACCTGACACTCCTGAGTCCATGGAGGTCAAGATGAAGCGTGAATGGTACCTGGCCCAGGAGGCCCTGGCTGAGAACAACGTGGGCTGTGGCAGCTCCTCGGCCTCCTCCTTTAAAGCCTTTTTTGCTTTAAAGTTGTGCAGGGGCTCAGGCAAGCAAGAAGGCAGCCCTCTAAGGAGCTGTGGCAGCTCTTACTAGTGCAAACACTGGCTCCCTTTTTCTGTGGTTCAGGTCCTTCTGGAGAGACGGGAGACAAGAAGCAACACCAGCGTCACAGGTCTGGCTGCAGGCAGGGACTGGGAAACTGAGCAGTTTGCCAGCAGCTGAGCACCGCAGTGTGCCCTGCAGCTCACGGCACTGTGCCGGGACAGAAGGGCTGCCAACCTGCTCCTCCTTGGGCCAGCCTGGAGCTGCAGGGCAGCAAGCGTGTCTTCCCTGCCCAGCTGGCACACAGGCATTTGGGGACAGCTATTGCTAAAGTTGGGGAGGGACACAGCTGGCTCTGGGTGTTTGTCCAAGCTCATTGGTGTTACCGCAAGGTAACTCCACTGCTGCGTAAATGACCTAGCACAGAGCAAATTAGAGGCTGGCCATGCTGTGTCCCTGGGCTGTGCTCGGCTAGTGCAGGGCAGCGCCTGCCCACAGCAGCCGCACAGCTGGTCAGTGCAACCACAGCTCCGCTTGCCGCTTGGGCAAGCGAAGCTAGGGCTATGACCTCCTGCACTGGCTCTTGCTTCTCCTGCCTCCACCTGTGCTGTATGTAACCACAGCTGGAGGGTTTGCTCCTGCCAGCGCCAACAGGTACAGTGGGAATGGCTGAGCTGCTGTTGGGAGGGGGAGAGCCATGGAGACACCTGGTGAGCGTGAGAGGCAAGCTGTGATCCTCTGACACAGCAGCCCCTGAACCAAGCTTCGCCTATTGGAGAGCAGCAGCTTGGCCCTGGCTGGTGGGTGCTGTGTGGCAGTGCCAGTCACAGAAGGCAATCGAGAGGCTCTGGCTATGGAGGAGATGAGCAAGAGGGACCATGGCTGGTGCCTCCCACTCCTCCCCTACATTAGCAGTGTCCCTGTCCCCGGCACCGCCTCCCTGTGAGGGGGGCACAGCATCTGCTGCTGCCTGGTGCTGCTCCCACCTCCTCCCTTGACCCAGCCACTTGCTGTGCAAATCCCACCTCAGCAAGGGCCACCACCACAGCAGAGGCTCACGCATGCAAGCTGGAACTCCTCAAATTGGGCTAAACCCAGCCAAGAAAGGGCTGCCTTGGATCTCAACCCACCAGTAGAAATAATATCCATGACACGCCAAGCTGTTTCAGGTTTTATTTTAGAATTTATAAAATTCCAGTGTCATCCATACTCATGAGCCTTTTTACATGTTTGCATATAGTCTCCAAATTCCAAAGTTAAGGCCAAGGGATCATTGCTATGGAAACGTACAATATGGAAGACGTCATAGAGAAGAAATGGACACATGCCACAGTCTGCTGCAGAAAGAGGGTGGTGGGGGGACAGTACTAGGTACAATCACTTCATGACCTTCTTTAGAGTGGAGGGTTGGGCTATGGGGCACAGGCCCAGACGGTGGTGCCCCAAATGTAACTCAAGCCTAGCTGTGCAACTGGTGAGGGCACGGGGCGGGGCATAAAGAGGGGGACGATAGGCTTGGTGACATAGGACAGACCTAAGCTACAGGGGTAATAACCATTTTCTGACAGACACAGATGCAAGGGTGTCACCCTAGCTCTGTCTGACCCACCCTGTCTCCTGTGCTGGAGCAAGGCCACCCTGTCCTTCAGGGGCAGCCAGGTGCCCTGCAATGGGCCGTGGTCAGCTTCAGTCATTTCTCAAACTTAAGGAGAGCACTGTGAGGTTTTGGTTCAACTTCTGCATAGCAGCTTCTTCCAAGAAGAGCTGGCACAGGAAGAAGTGTCGGCATGTCAGACTTGCCAGAGGGAAAGGCAAGAACGCTGGGCTCAGCTTGACAGAGTTTTGGGCCTTTGTTCCGTAAGCAGCACTAGAGAAGAGAGGCTAGGGACTCCTGCTTGTCCGAGAGCTGAAGCAGCTGGGATAGAGGAATGGCTCAGACTACAACCTCTGTAGGAATGAGGCAGGGGAAGGAGGGAACACAGAAACCCCATGCTTCCTGCCTCCCTCCACAAAGACATGATTTTCCTCTTACTGGCTGGAGGAGCTTGGACACAGCCCCCTTTGAGCAAGCTGTGGCAGGGCCTAGGCGCAAGCAGCCCAGAGTACAGAGTATGGAGCACCCTCTACTGCCCATACGATGGAGGCCTCAGGGAGGGCTCAATGCACCGTGCCGTCAGCCCCTCAGTGCCATCAGAGCAGAAGCCTAGCTCACAACCTCTGCAGCCGAGGGCTGTGGCAAGGCTGCACCTATGACCTTGGGGCCGAGCTCTGTTCTAGCTCAGCAAGCAGTCCTACAGTTCTGAGTTGCAGCCTGCCTCATCGTCACCATACTCAGCTTCCCTCCAGAGGAGCTCCCACAGCCACTCGGGAGACAAAAGGCTCCTCTTGCTTCTCCACGCTTCTGCTCTGGGTGCCAGGGCAAGAGCTGGAACAGCTGTTTACCCACTTACACTGAGAGGCCACCATCGTACCGACTTTTGAGGTAGAAAGAAGGCAATAGTAATAGGTGTCCCTACCGCTCATGCCTAGATGCTGCAGTGCTAGCAGAGTACTAAAGCTTCTCAAGGCTGTGCTTCCCACCAGCTTCTCCTGGGCCATGCCACCACAGCAACCTTGGCCAACCCAAATCTGTCTCATCTGGTGATACTGTCATGTGCTGGCTCACCTGCCTGCTCACACTGTTGGCTGTTTGGAAGGGTGAACAAGGGAATGTGGGGAACTAGGAGCAGGGTCTGTCATCACGCACTGGAAGACTCGTCAAGCGTGCAGGCTGGGGCTGTGCTTGGTGTGGCACAGGGGTGCGCTCGCTACGCACTGCACTCAGAGGTGTTTACCTGACCAGGGTAGCCATACGTTGTTCTGGTCCCTTCCATCTCTGCTGCTTCTACAGCCTATTGAAGGTTTTGTTCCTTTAAAAAGCAAGTTTCTGACCTTTTAGATTATTTTAAGCTCTCCCCATAGTCAGCTATCAGCATTAAATGAATTTTTGGCAGTTAAAAGGAAAAAAAGTTGATTGCACTCTACAAAGGTAAGGTAAGGCCTGGGATAAACACAAAGGAAGGAGGGCAAACGTTTTGGCTTTAGACAGTCAAGGAAATTTATTTCCTGAGGTCATGAGACAGGAAGTTGATTCCTAGCCACAGTAAAGGAGGTCTCCTAATGAAGGCAAGAATGCCTAGTAAGACATGCTCAAGAGAGCAGATTGCTCTGCTAGCGCTTGGGAAGCTGCAAATCTTAGCCACTTTGAGTCAATTATGAAGTGTCTAACAAAACCACACACATTTAGTGTTTGAGCAGAAGTCTGGTTCCAAAGGAGGAAAAAATATCCATCAAGAGATGAGGGTGGGTCCTAGCCACAGTTAGCTGAGGGGAACACGATGGGATCTAGCACTCTAGACGCCATTAGGAGACCTCTTGGGGCAATTGACTTGTGCTCCAGCCGCTGGGTCAGATTTCAGACAGGAAGTATTTGTGGCAGGTTAGTGTCAGGTCAGCGGGCTGGAGGAGATGTTTCTGCTTCCAGGTCATTATCGTTTGGGTCCCCAGGGAAGAGTCTTGGGGGCCACTTGAGCCCCAAAGCTGGGGAAGTCTTCAGAACTGCTCATATCAGGGGCCTAGAGCAAACAAAAAGGGAACAAGTTAAGCTCCTGCCCTGCTGCGAACCTGCACGATGCACCCGAGCTAAGCAGTGTTTCTGATGTCCCATGAGCAGAGACAATGGGGGAGGGCCGAAAAAGATCATTATGCCCTTAGGACTGCCCAGGGTGGATGGTCAAGCCACCTAGAGATGACATTTAGAAGGGTGCAGATAGGAGCAAATGGCAGGTAGATCAAGGGCTCTGAGGGACCAACCTCAGTAACTCAGTCACTGGAGTGGGGTGAGGCCAGTCCTGCAGCAGCGCCGGGGCAGCTGAGGACAGAGCTGCTGCATGTTCCAGCTCACTGCTCCCAGCCAGAACACAGCTGCAAACATTGAGCTGGTTCTGTGCTGCAGCAGAAGAGTTAGAAGTCCCAGGGCCCCATCCCTACCCCTAAAAAAACCCAACACGACATGGCAGGACACTTTCTAGTATGGGTCCCCCATTCCCCAACAGCTCCACAGTGGGATAGTCAGTGTGGGCAAGATGTTTGGAAGAAAGACAGCAGTGCTTTGGAAGCTGGAGAGGCAGAGCCCAGGCCTGCCCTCAACTTGCACAGGCCACAAAGAGCAAGAGGGTCCTTCACTGCTTTCTCTGCAGCCAAAGGAGGGAGAGTACTCAGTTTCCCCAGCTGAGATATGAGGGCCAGACCTCAGGGTAGGTCCTTGGCAAAAGGTGCTACATTCCCTGTGTCCCCAGGCCTGTAGCAGAAGTAGCACTCACCTTTTCGTTGTTGACAGTGGCCCAGGGGGCATCTCTCACCACAAAGCCCTTGGATGGGGCCTTGGACTCTTCATGGGAAGAGGGCTTCATATACACCTGCATTGCCTCATTGTCCACCACATCTGCAAGCTGCAGTGACACGGCCCAGTTAGGGGAAGATCTTGATAATTCCTCAAACTGGTGTAACATGCCTCCCCTGCATCTCACCATGCTGCAACCCGTCCAAGGTCACCAGCCTGTTCTACAGTGACCTAATACAGTGTTTCTGCACTAGTCTGAGGGCCATCAACTCCTAACTGATGCAAGCTGCAGCAAGGCAAGCATGTGCACATCCTGGTGGTGTCCCAGCATTCTCATTCACTGCCCCCTCCTGGGCAGTGGGGCCAGTCCTTGCACTGCTTTGCAGGGCACAGCCTGGGGCTCCACACCCGGTTGGTCTGAGGGACAGTTGCAGATGAGGGCTGACTGCCACCTGCACAGAGCTTGAGTTCTCCAATGCAGTAGTAGAAAATACCACATGGAGATACTTCAGACATCTGGCTCTGTGGCAGAGGAAATCCTTGCTAAGCCCCTGCACAGATATGCTGAACACTTACATATTCCTCCTCCAAGTTCAGGATGTGATCGATAGCTTCTTCCACATTCTCAGGGAGTCCTGTCACAGTCACACAGTTGGGGTCAGGAGCTCCACTCTGGGGAAAGCGAATATCTACCTGCAACACAAGGAACAGGATGGGACTTAGATGGCACATCTGAAAAGCCACAGACTTCCCATGACCCTTGTCATTAGATTCACAGAAGAGAAAAGCTCTGATCTGTTCACTGCCACAAGTCTGTTTAGGACCTCCCTAGTTCAGATGCTGGGGGGTGCACTGGAATATACCTGGCCCTGAAGCTTATCTGGTTCCCCTGTGAAGGAAGGCAGAACAGAGTCTGTAGTAACAACCCACCTTCCAGCAGTCTCTGCTGCTCTCACTGCCCAGAGGCCCACTGCTTTCTGTGCAGCACTTGCAGCAGAAGCAGAAGAGGGCTCCTCACACTGCTGCATTTTCACCATCAAGCCATTAGTATGAAGCACAATCAGCTTTCTGTCTCCTCCACAGATAGAGTAATCCTGGCTGACAATCATGTTATGGAGCTGGCTTAGCGTACCCCACACACAGCCACTGAGCTCTGACAGCTTGCCTTCCAGATGGGTGCAGGGAAGCCACACAAGACAGGACCAAAATCAAAGACTGCTCATTTGGGAACCAAACAGCTTGTTTCAACAACTGAACCAGCCAAGACGCATGTCTCCAAAGCCTCATCACTCTGGATTCACATTCACTACTGCCCCTATAAGTAAAGCATGCTACTGCCACATGCCGTCAGGGGCAAAGGTCCTTGCCCTTCCCAGAGTCAGCTGACTTTGCCAAATCTGGAGCCCTGAGAGTGCGTCAAGATTCCCAAAGTCAAGGGAATCAACAGTGGCCTAGACAGACAAAGAAATCCAGAGGACTTCCTTGAGCTAAGCTCAAGCTGAGGTGGTCTGGGCGCAGTACCCTCCCAGAGTCCCCCAGCAACAAGCCTGACTGTCCGCTTCCAGTAATCGGAGTAGCTGACATAACCACCTCCTCCCTTTGAAGACCATCCAGGATGCTGTCTGCAAGAAACCCACTAAAAGGGCTGCACAGAGGGACAGAGCTCAGTGCTGTTTGCAGGGCTAACCCAGAACACCAAGGACTCATTTCCAGGTTCCTCTTCTGGCTGTGCTCCAGCAAGACAGAAGAGCTCAGCCTCTACCCTGCCTGGCTCCCAGAAGAAGGGCACAGCTAAGGTTGTGTGTGGATGTTTCAGCTGGTGTCTGGGTGTGGTGTCCAGACAGCCCAGCTGGCCAGGGCTTACCAGGGTGCCCTGGCCCAGGGATTCTTCTCACATGCTTGTGGTGACACAGCTGGGAGTGAGCAGGACAGCACTGGCTTTTCTTTTGTGCCTGTTCTAGCTGAAGGTGCTCCAGAGGCACAAGACACAAGGACCACAAGATGTCAGCATCACGCTTCTGAATTCAGCCCCTAGCACCAAGCTGCTACCAAGCTCTTAGCACAGGAGCGAGCAGCACCACTGGCTGCCCAGGCCCAGCCTGTGCTGCATCACCCCACACTCACCTTGAACTCATCCATGATTTTGCGGATGGCTTTACCACGTGCACCAATGATGCGTGCGTGAACACGATGGTCTAGAGTCACATCCTCAGAGACCATCTGCTCCAGCTCACCAACAATCTTCATGATGGCATCCCGGGCAGCCTCGGCATGCTTCTCATAGCCAGTGATGGTGATCTGGTCTTGGGCCTGGGGCACAAGGAAATGTGTGAGAGACCAGGCTCATAAGCAGCTGAGCAAGCCTTCTCCCTGCTAATCCCTTTTACCCTCTGCCTTATCCAAAGGCGGCATGTGGAGATCAGAGCCCTAGAGAAGATGCTGTGCTTCCTATGCTCAGAGACAACCAGCAGGCCTGCTTGCACCCCCTCTGACCTCTCACCTGGCTTTCATCATCCTTGTCAGGGAACTGGATGTTGACCTCATGCTCTGTGCGTATCTGGGTGATCACTGCTCCCTTCCGCCCAATGATTTTAGGGTGATACTTTGGATCCACAGTGACTGTCAGCTTGAAGCTTCGCAAGGCCTGGAACAGGAGAAGCAGAATGAGATACAACACCAGGGAACACACCATGGCTGGTCCAGTGATGTCCATCTAAGTCCCAGTGTCTTCTTCTGGCTCCTGACATGTGCAGACAGATTCTGCAGGGTCATGCCTATGTACATAGCTACAGAAGAGCACCCAAGACATCTGCCTGCTGCAGCCTTGTGCTTTCACCAAATACAAGTAGCAAACAACCATCCAACTCATCCCTCACCTGTTTATTCAGAGCTGTGATAAGGATTCAATGAGGATAGGTACAGAAAGACTCCTAACACAGTGAGGTACCCAACCTGCAGTGTCTCTAAGGTACATGAAGGTGTGATAGAGCCCTGGGCAGTCCAAAGTTACCTAAAGTAGAAACCCAAAACTCTCCTGTCAGTTCATGTTGAATGGGTTACATCTGGATAACCCACTTATGAGCACTCCACACTCACAAAGCAACTAAGGGTGGCCTTAAAAGGAGAGGGGTTCCAGGAGTCTGCACAACTTCTGAGAGGAACACCCAGAGGCTGAAGGCTTGTTTGGCTGGAAGGAGGAAGGACAGGCACAGGCCTTACCCGATCCTCTTGTTCATTTCTTTCCAGCAGCCCAGCCTTGGCACGGTCCAGGTTGGTAGCCAGCCCAGTGATGGTGATGGTATCTGACTGCAGCTCAGGAGCAGGGACCTGGATGTTCACCTGAGTAACAAGTAGCCATTACTGTTTTGTATCACTGCTCACTGCAGGTTGGCATCTCCCCTGCCACCGAGACCAGCTCCCACACAGACAGCCTGAACCACAGAATCACAGAATGGTTGACAATGGAGAGGTCACCTGGTCCAACCCCTCTGCTCAAGCAGGGCCACCTAGAATCAGCTGCCTGGGACCATGTCTAGGTGGTTTTTGAATAGAACCCTGTTTCTTCAGCCATTATCTATATAAGATTGCTTTGCTGTGGGGCTTCAGTCCCCAGCAGTCCCTGTGCCAGCCTGGAGAGGCTAGGAAACAAACACATGTTCAATAGCACTGTCTGCAGCCAACCTGCATCAGCCTCAAGAGTCCCTGTGGGCTTGTGGGGAATTCTCCCAAATGGGCAGGCACAGCAGAGCTGTTTCCCATGGCCTAGGAGGAAAACAACTCTCACACTGGTGAGGAATCCCTGTAGGCACCAAACAAGTCACGCAACACTCATGGCATCAACAGCGATCATACAGCTTCAGCATGAAACCTACTGAGCCCCGGAGCCAGGGACTAAATCACACAGGTCTCATTTTCTTATTACAGAGCTCGTATTCCATGGTCAAGCCACAGAGGTCCTGAGTATGTCACAACTGATTGCCATCACCACAAACACGGTCATTTACAGATTCTCCAGGACAGAGAAGAGGGGAGGAAGGGCAACAACTTACTTCAAACTCATCCATCATTTTGCGGATCCCACTTCCTTTCTGGCCAATGATGTAACGGTGAAGATCAAAGGGAACTTCCACCTCAATGGTGACAGGAACCAGAGCCTGCAGGAGAGGGAGCACAGTTTACCACCTGAAAGACTTTTCCTGCCTTTCAGCTTGCCATACACTTGCCCAAAAGAACATGTTGCTGAACTGAGGTACATTCCCTTGTAGTCAGGATACAAACTCTACAGGAAGAGAGAACAGCTGCAAACACTAAGATGACCTGTTGGTTGTTAAAGCACTTTTTCCAAACAAGCCATGTTAAATCCCGCCTCTGGGGACAGGCTGTTTTCGTATCCTTGGCTTCCATCTAGCAGAGACTTGGACAACATCACTACAGGAGCATGGCAAGGTCTGCTAAAGCTAGAATGATTCAGCCTCAATCAGACTCTGTCTCCTTCCAGCCGTGCTACATAAATCAAGCATGTCATGCTTTTATGGCAAGTAACTCAGGGCTGCCTACAAGCTCTAGCAATTGCAAGGTCAGGGACTATGATTCAAGCAGCCAGGACATATCACAGAGCAATCAGAGGACTTCCCTTGAGTGGTACAGACCACCTCCACAGTTAGCATCAGTGACCACCTGGATTGCAACTTTGAGTAGTTTTTATTACCACCGCTAAAGCCTGCAGTGAGTTTCTTGCATCAGGCATCACTTCATTACACGATTAAAGGGCTTAGAAAGCCACATACCTGCAGTGCCTCCTTTGCTGCCTCACACTTCTCCCTGCGGCCAGAGATGATGATGATATCGCACTTCTTTGGAGAGCTGGGATCTGCATCCTTCCCGTCCTTGCCTTCCCCACCTTCCTCGCCATTCTCCTGCACAGCTGGCTCTGCAACAGGGGCTGGAAACATTGGAAGTCTCATGTTAAATGCACAGAGCCCCCTCCTTGCTCATTATCTCCCCCCTCCAGATCCTCAGGCTCAGTGTGGGCTTTGCCACAAGAGGTCAGACACTATAGACTGCTATGGAGGAGGTTACTCCTAGCACAGGCAGCTTGCCAGGGCTTAGCCTGGAACAAGCAGAACAAGAACATCTACTGAGATAGTCTCCTCCACACTTCTCTGCACAGCATTGATATTGCCTTTGCCTGCACAGAAAGGGCCTGCAACTGCACTACAGAAGCGGTCGCTGCACTCCTGTGTCAGTGGAGACAACAGGTAAGTCTGGCAGTTTCTTCCCCAACAGGGAAGTTCACCCACACAGCATTGGATGTTACAGCAGGATGGCTGGTGCTAGGCCAGAGTATCCAACAAGCCCCAGCTGTGCAGAATTCAGTACACCCAGCAACAAGAGCATGAGAAATCAGAGACCTTGGCCTGTAGAGCCCTTTTTGCCAGGATAGGTCTTTGTACTCCCTGCACTCTGTGGTGAGAACACATTCAGAACACCCATGTCTGCAGTTTTACCTCCTAAAACTGTCCCCTCTTCCCAAGAGGGCAAGATTGATGCTAAGCCCAGATTCAAGGACACTGCAGGGAACACCCGGGGTTAGTTCTCCATAGATTTTAAGTAGAACATCTCCACTGATATGGAGTGTAGGCTACACTACACTACACTCATTTGATCACTGCAGCTACCATGCAAACGTGCATCCATGGGTGTACCTGGGTTCTCCTCCCTGTCAGGGAATTTGATCTGGACACCATAGTCCCGGGTGATCTGCTGGATCCGGGATCCTTTGGGGCCCATAATGGAGCGGTGGAACTTTTGTGGGATGGTGCATTCGATTGTCACTTGAGCTTCCTGTGAGAAAGCAGAGTTGCTCTATTGCGATGCAGCCTCTTTCACACCAGAAAACAGGATGCTTGTGCATGGTGAAATCCATAATGAACACAGTGAGGAGTTAGAAAAGATAACAGCTGCTGACAGGGGAAGAACTGAAAGTTTCCTAGAATCTTTCCTCTCTCAGAGAAGTTAGCAGAGGATTTCTTAATGAAGGCTGCCTCCACGCCATGACGTTAAAGGCTTCCAAGAACCAAAGCTCAAGCTATTACCCTGAAGAGGAGGAAGCATTAGAAGAAAGGAAAAAGATAAAGAAGGAAGGAAAGGAAACGAAGAGGTTTGACAGTTTGCTGCTTCCGAAAGACAATACTAACAGCACAGGAAACCCCAGAGAGCAACTACTGCCCAAGGCCAGGCATGGAGAGGCACTAGAAGGCTCCAATCTTTTAATGTCTAGCCGTACACCACAGAAGGGTCTCCTATTTCCACTCCTAAAAACCAAGAAGATGGTCAGAGGAAGCAATTCCTTCATATAGCATTGCCACTTTGGAGCCAGCTGCCATTCCCCAGGCTGGGATCTAAAGTCTGCAGACCCTGCATGTTGACAGCAAGGCTTTAAATCCCAGAACTACCATGGGACTTGTTCACATAGAGCTTGACTGTACAGCAGGTTCAAGGAGGGCACTGCTGAAGCAATGAAGTATACAAGAAACAGCTTTCCTGCGACATACCAGGTCCTCGATGATCTCCTGGATGCGTTTCTTGGCTGCCTCCACACAATCCTTGGCTCCCTTGAGGGTGACTTTGTCGCTCTGGGTGCCAGAGCGTGGAAAGCTGACCATCACACCACCATACTCATCTGCGATCTCACGCAGAACTTGCCCTCTCCGGATGACAAAGTGGCGGTGGTGCTTGGGGTCCACCACCATGGAGTCTTCAACCACATTATCCTGCCAAGAGATGACAGCCAGTCAACCCTGCCTGTCCTGGTGATAAGCACAAGTTTGCTGCACTCAACAGCAATCAGTTTACAACCTCACTCCAACAAGTGACAGCGAGGACAATCTTCCTGAGCTCTCATGAAGGGCAGCACATGGTTTTAGGACAAGCAGGTCCTCCACACCAACTCATTACATCTTGCTACAGCGATAGGCAAGAAAGGAGAAAAAGTAGTTCATACCAGGTTCTTGATGAGGGCCTCCAACTCCTTCTGTGCCTCTTTAACAGCCTCCTCAGTTCCCATGATAGTAATCAGCTCCTGATCTTTGTCCTCAGAGGTTGGGAAGATGATGCGGGCCCCAGTGTTGTCACGCACCTTACGGATGTTGCCACCACCCTTACCAATAAGGAATTTGTGGTACTCTGGCTTTGCACGGAGGTCTACGGTGTAACTCTTTGTTTGCTGAAAGGAGTCAGATACCCATGGGACATGTCAATATACAGAAGATACATCAGCATCAATAGTAGGCATGTAGGTATGTTACCTGCACCCACATCCACAGTGTTACAAAAATAAGGTAGATGCAGCTTGCTGTCGAAGTCAAAAATGTATACGATTTCTCAAACTAAAAGCACTACCCAAAAGATGTTCTCAGGGCTGAAAAGCTAACTCCACACTCAGCACGACTGGTGAGAATATGAGCAGAAGACTTCCCTAGGTGAAGGGTCTGACACTCACACAAAGCAGCATAATCATTTGCTAACTGACTGCTGCAAGCCAGGCAGCAGAGGCAACCAACTAATCAGGAGAACACGTTCACATGCTGATGTTAAAAAGGGTTTTTTCTTGCCATTAAAAAGATCAGTCAGTCAGCCACAACTCAGAGCAAGGTCTGGTAACCCAGAGTTCTCAAACCTGGATATATGCAGTGAAATGGAAGAACTGGAGCTGGAATTCAGAGATCAAGAAAAAAGTAAAGGAGATAGGCAGAGTAAGCTGTTTCAGAGAAGTGTGGATACCCAACAGCATTAAAACCACAGCAGTAGGAAGCCTTAACCCTTTGAGTATGTCCCCAGCCTAGGCAGAGAAGCATTACAGCCAGTTCTTCCACCCATGGGGGAAGAACCCATTGTCACAAGGATGGAAGCATAGTTTTCTTTTAGTCATCCAAACTGCACCCAAATCCCTTAACAGAGGGTTAGGCTGTCTGATGCCAGAGGCTTCCCAGAAAGCAGAGGGAATCATTTCAACCCCCAAAAAGAAATAGCTTCCCAAAACAACCTGCTCATTCCCCTATGAGACAAGGCTCACCTTCTCCTCTGCCAGGTGCAGCAGCTGTTTCTTGGCTTTCTCCACATCCTGGGCTGGGCCCCTGATGGTCACAGTGTCACTGCCAGAGCCCTCAGTGGGGAAGTGGATGTGGACTCCACCACACTCCTCCATGATGGAGCGGATGAAGCGGCCTTTGGCGCCAATGAGGGAATTGTGCAGTTTGGAAGGAATAGAGACCTCCACCTCTGTGATGTTTGCCTAAGAGAGGACAGTACCAGGCTGTTAGTCAAGCTGCAGAAATGTGTTTGCGCCCACTCTGCTTACTAACTCCCACATTGCTAGGAGCTTTATACAGCCTGACCCAGAGGGCTTTGAGCCTGGCTACTCCTGACACATGAGCAGTCACAAACGTAGGTTTGAGTCAAGAACAGACGGATACTCACATTTGTCTCCTGCCTGCCCTCCCCCACTACAAGCACTTCTTCTGTATTTATGTCTTCTAGCAACATTTTCAAGTCCCTCCTCTGCAACAGGCTAGTTGTTTCACTTACCAGCTCCTTCTGGATGGCAAGAATTCTGTGGCGAGCAGCCTCACAGTTTGCTCTCTTGCCTGTGATAACAATTGTCTCCGAGTTGCTGTTCTCTGCTGGGAGATCAATTTTGGTGTTGCTTTCTTCACGGATCTGCCACAAAGGAAAAAAAAAGAAATAATCTCAGAGGTGTCCCATGTCAGAAAAAAAGCCCTTGGAGGTTATATTGGACGTCATCAATGAGCAGGAGAGAGCAGCAAGTGGGATTTAGCTGCAGGCAGTGACCGTAATGAGCACTGGAGATCGGAAAGATCTCTCACCTTCTTGATGTTGGCACCTCCTTTCCCTATGATGTTCTTGTGGAATTGTTTAAAGATGGGGACAGAAATAGAAAAGCTGTTTTCAACCTAAGGGAGAAAGGAAGGGAGAACTGAAGATTACACTGTCATGGCAAGTGAGGCCCCGTCCCCGGAACTTGATAAACAAGCTTTTCACAATAGGCTTAGACCCAAGGAAGTTCTCTATATGAGACTTGCAAGAATAAGCAAAGGCCAATACCTTCCCCTACAGTCCTTAAGTAACAGGTATTACCCTCCAGTCCCCAGCCAGCCAGAAGAGAGTCCACAGCTCCCTCATCTTGAGGTGTTTCAGTCCTAGCCAAGCCAGTACAGTTCTGCTTTATTCCAGGGTTACCCAGGCATGTAGGAGAGAACAGCAGACAAAAGTCCCCCTTACCAGGTCTGCCACCATCTTTTGCATGTACTTGGTGCACTTCTCCACCTCATTTTTGGGACCTCTAAGTTGGACAATGTCACTCTTGTGTGCAGGATCTGGGAAGTTGATGATAACCTGCAGGAGGTGGTCATTTATAATCAACTCAAGCAAATGTAAGAATTGCCATGTCAGACACATGCAAAGGTTGGGGGAATCCTACACATCCCCTTTCCCATTTGGAAATGGGCAACCACATTAGCAGCCTCTGGCCGAAAGAACTATCTTCTCATACATATTAGATACAAAGCCACTAAATTTATGACTTCAGCAATGACATGTCTACTACCCAAGTAGGAAATATCCCCTCTGGATTCCTCATCTCCTAGAAAGCCTTACCTCTGGGAATTTCTCCCGAATTTCCCGGATCCGCTCACCCTTTTGCCCAATGATGGTCCGGTGGAACTTCTGCTCAATGATTAGGTCCTTGGTGCGTTCATTTTCCTGATGAGAACAGTTTTTCAGCAGGACAGCCACATACTTTTATTTACCAGTTTCCTGCCTGACAGTTTACTTGCCAGCATCTTCCCTCTTTTCTCTAGACAAAATTCACTCTAGGTTGACAGAGAAGGGGTATCCAAGGGAATAGAGGAAGACATCTGTGAAGAGGAACTTGCACTTGTCATGAGATCCAAGTGCTCAGCACTGAGGGGCACACACTTGCACCAGAAGGTTACAAGGGAACATAGGAGCCCAAACCCTACGGCCTCCCAAGCATCACATCCTACTCACCATACGGGAAGCGAGTTCCAGCAGCTCTTTCTTGGCCTGTTGGACCCCCTGTGGGTCTCCTTCAATTCTGATCAGGTTGCTCTTCTCATTGTCCGGGGGAATGCGCACAGACACCTTGTAGAGGTCCTTAATCCTGTTAACTTCAAGGCAAGGACTGTGGTGACACAGTCTGCTAGGCCAAGACTTGGAAGCAAGGCACCTTGATTACCACTGCTTAGAGGCTGTTTAAGAGGTACCCCAGCCTCTGAGAAGGGACCAGTGGGGTGGGGTTGAAACAAGGGAAAGTGCCTCTTCACCCTGGAGTTCAGGGAGAGCAGATCTGTGCCACACAAGAACCTGTACAAGTAAATACCGTGGCATCTACAGAGCCAATTGTTCATTTGCCAGAGTGAGGCATCTGTTTCTTCCCCAAACAGCACCACATTTAGATCAGAAGATGATCATTAATTTCTAATCCCAAATTATTTTTTGGGGAGAAACTCACCAAGCAGATTTCTACCACCCCCAATCGGCTGCTAAAATGTAATTCACGTAGAGCAACATTAAAAAAAAAAAAAAAAAAAAAAAAAAAAAAAAAAAAAAGACAATTCTCCAACCAAAAAAAAAAATTTCCTCCAGGACATGGCAAAGTAATCCCACCACTGTTCAACCTCCCAAGCCACTTTGACACATTAAAGCCACTCCAAGGCTTCACTGCCCATTTATCTCCTTGTGCCAACACCACTTCAGAAGAGCAGAGGAAATGTGATGGAGACAGCACACTGGATGAGCTACAGAGCCCTTCATATGGTCATGGAGAGTCCGAGCACAGGAAGGATTAGAAAGGCACCCCACTTACTGTTAGCTCCATTCTTGCCAATGAGGTGTCGGTGGAATTTGTGGTCAACATTGATTTCTGCGTAATCCATCCGGTTGATCTATAAAGAATTGTACAGGGTAGGCCACCACTTCTCCTGTCTTGTGCCCTACGTAGCTGCCTACTGCCAGTATTGGCACTGACTCTCCAGTAGTCAGCTACAAGCCCTCCTCCTGCTATTAAGCAGAGCAGAAGCACTCCTCTGGTTTGAGCTGAGAGCAACATGCTTGTGAAACAGTTAAAGGGACTGATACGCCTCTCCAGCTACAACTGAAAGAGAACCCTTCCTTCTCTGCATCAAAAGATTTAAGACCTGCTGCTCATTTTTTAAGAATGCTATGGGGCAAGCTTCGTAACCAAGGGTTTCAACCATCTGCCACACAACTTGTCTTCTGCAAGTTCTGTTAAGCATGTCAAGACATCATAGGGATGTGATACACACCGCATCATCTCTGCTCTGTTGCCCCTTCTTCCCCCACTTTCTTCTTATGTACTGGAACTAGTAACACAAACTTACCAGATCCTTGACCATGACTTCAATCTGTTCCTGAGCCACATTCACATCTTCTGTAGGTCCTTCCAAAGTGATTTTATCCTCTCCTTCAGTGAATTCGATGTGAACCTTTAGACACAGCAATGAATCCAGTAAGAATTTTCCAAGATACAAGCCAGATGAATGCTGTTAGTCAGGCCTACACCATCAATCCCTGCCACTAAGAGATGGTTTCCTTCCCACACATCATTTCCATGGTTTCAGAAGCAGCTACCTTACAATTCAGGCTGTATCACCGTGTCTAGAGACCAAGGCTTTGGTGCTGTCCTGGAGTCTGCAAGGGCTTTGGAGAAGTTACTCACCTAGCCTTTCTCTAGATACCACGTAATTCCCCAGGGAGAAGCCTTGCTGAGGTCAGCATTTGCAGGTATCCTACTACATCAGTTCTCAAAATAGTACCACATAAAGCTTCCTTTGAAGGGCTCAACCCATGAGAATAACATAGCATGAGCAGTGTTTGCAGGAGTAAGAGACGCTCCCCCTAATATTAAGATATGTGTCATTTCCTCCCTGGTTTTACCCACGCTAGAATACATTTCTCTCTTCTACAAAGAGGGATCTGGACTAAACCATATTCTACATTGGATGGTGCTAAGCTAACCAGCTTACCCATACCTTTGGCATCTGCTGAGTTATTTTGGCCAGGTTTTGTCCTTTCTTTCCAATAATGAAACGATGAAGCCAAGAGGGGGCAGAGACCGAGGAGACGGTAAAACTGTTGGCCTGAGAGACAGAAAAACAGAGAAGCTGTTTGATGGGCAGACTGGAAGAGGTCTTCACAAAAATTCAATTCCAATTCCCATGTTGTACCCTCAGTATTGACTTCTAAGCTGCATTTCTAACAGCCCAACAGAGACCACGCTCCCTACACCTGTCAGTGCTCACAGATGTATCTTTATGGGACTTTCAAAGAAGGCCTAGCCCATCTCATCAGTACCTTTGCATAGACTTCAGTCAATGCTTGCCCAAGCTTTTCAGGCTCGCCTCGCAGTATCACCGTCTCTGAGCTACTGTCAGTGGGTGGGATCTCGACAGAGACTCCAGTTTTCTCCAAGATCTCCTGCAGGGAATTCCCCTTGGGGCCGATGACATACTTGTGCTGGGACTTCTTCACCTCCACTGCAATGGTAGTAGTCTTCTTTTTCTGTAGGGGCAGAGGCACAGGGGCATCAATCACAAGGCTGCAGGGAAGGACAAGAACGAAAGGAAGAAGCACAAGATGCAGGGAAACTGCACCCGGGAAAGAGCAAAGCAAAGGTGAGCACAGTGGTTCTGCAGTACCCTAGCACCTTTAGGGCCCCTGCCTACAGAAAGCCTTGTGCTCAAAAATTCACAGGTGAAGTATAAAAACTAGTATTCTGCGTCAAGCTCCCTGGGACACTACATGGAAAAGACCACATACACGCACACACTCTTGCACAACAGGGCTCAATGCCCAGCTGTTCCCCAGGCAGTACTGTAATGCAACACCATGTAGACTACTAGGCTATAAGCTGATTATCTCTGTTGAAATCCAGACTGGTACAAATACAGACCTAACCATGAAGAAAACCAGCCCAACAATCCACAAGGATATTCACAGCAATGTTGGCTGTGGAAAATAAACTGGAGTGAAATTCACTCTTCAGCAACTTCTACTTATGTAGCAACTTTGATACTGTTAGCTGGCCACCACTGTAAGGCTTCACACTTCCCTCCTTAGTAGCACCTGTGTGAACAAGAGTCAGAGGAGCTCTCTGTGGTCTGCTAATTCCCATGACACAGAAAAGCAAGAAATCTGTCACCTCCTTGGTGGTATCACCCCAAGTTCCACTTTGCTGAGCGAGGAAACTGTAAGCTCCAGGGCCCTATACTGCAAGGGCTGCTGAGCCAGAGCTGACATGAGGAGGATGCAACAGAGGGATGCACAAAAGTAGAACAAGAAGGGAAGAGGGACTGTGAGTAGGTGGGGGGAAGATGGGAAGCTTTATAGACCATCCGTACCTTCTCCTCATAGATCTTCTTAACACGAGCCACGGCCTGGGCTAGCTGCTCCTTTTCTCCTGTGAAGACTATCTCTGTCTTGTTCACGCTGGGTGGAGGAATGTTGATGCGTGTCCCTGTGTCCTGCATGAGCTCGCTCACCAGCTTGTTGTAAGGGCCAGCAATGAAGGGGTGGTATACTTTCTCCACATCCAGCCGCTCCACGGCACGCTTATCCTGGAAGAGGGCCAGAACAGACCTCAGTGGGAACTGCCCTCCATATTACAGTCTCTGCCAGACACAGCTAAGTTCCCAGTGCTGTCTTGCTTGACACTCTGGCCCAAGCACCCTTTTCAGTTTGTGGGCTTGTAGATCTCCATCCCTTTCAATCTACAAATACCGCTGTTGCTGATGATGATTTATGATATTCATCTCTGTAATCTCCTGCCATATCTCTTATGTGGCACCTAATCTGGTTCACTTCAAATATGAAACATGCTTATCTGAATTCAGAGATGGACAAAATGCAAAACCAGAAGTTGCAGAACTCGGCAGTGATGCTCATACAGCCAGTGGCACAGTATATCACTCTGTTCAGACTAACATACTGGCCACTGACTGTGGCCATGATCACTACAAACACCTAATATACCATGGAGAAGCAAAGTGGCTGTCCAGCTAATGCCATGAGAAAGATCACAGTACTGAAGTACCTGCTCAGCAGAGATAAGCAGGATCTCGTGTCGGGCCTTCTCAATCCCTTCTTTAGTGCCGGTGATCTTGATCTGGTTGCTGGGGTCATCTGGGCGGGGGATCTGGATTTTGGTTGCAGTTTTGAGCTCCAGGTCTTGCAGCTTCTCGCCATTCTTTCCAATGACAAAACGGTGGTGCTCCTTGGGGATGGCAACTGTCGCTGAAGCCTGCAACACAGGAATGAAGCATCTGTGAGAACCCTTGCCTGGACTGGCAGATCCACAGGAACAGAGCCAGGGAAAGCAAGTTAGATGCCGCTCAGTGGTACCACTGAGGAGCAAACACCATGCCTTCCCAGCACATTCTGTCCAAGGACTAATACTGTACCAGAACAGTTGATCTATGGTGCCTGTATACCAGGAGTCTAAACCCCACCTTTCCCTCAAAACCCTTCTGTTTGCACAGGAGTAGTACTCTGAATTAGGAAAGGCCTTTAGGCACAGACGAGGAGGTGTCTATCCTCCAGTGTAAGACAGTGGAGCAGTACCAGACAGCAACCGAGATGATGGCTCATGGGTGGAGTTTATCTGAACTCTGACGTATGCTGCTAAGGCTACAGAGAACAAGACACACAGTTTGACTCCCAGGAAACAGAAATTCAACACCAGAAACCTATTCCAGCAGGCAGACAGCTAGGAGATGCTTACTGCTAAGTGCTAAGGTGTCTTCAATGCAGCATATGCTGCTCCTGGGACTGATTCTAGAAGGCCCCTCTTGGAAAAGGGGTCCCAAGAGCTTCTCTCAATCTACCATTAAAGGGCTGGTTTGTAACAGGGATTCCTGACTTCTTCCTTTCTGAGTTTTTACTGACCTGTTAGTTTATGATTGCTACCATGCTCTTGATCCCTGTGAATATGTAACTACTCACCGTTATCAGTCACTTAAAATTCAAGCTACAATGGGGGGTGGGGGATCAGAAAAGATCTCTTGATGTGACTCTTCAGCTCTGTGTCCCTGTACTGAAGCCAGCCAAGCCTAGGAGAAGTTCTAATACAGACACACCTTTCAGACCTGGGGCCAGGGCAGCAGGAGGTATATTTGAGGACAGTGGGTCATGGATCTGTGGCAGTACAACCTGAAGTATTTTTTCAGATGCACATTACGTAGGGTTTGTCCCTTTCTCTTCTCTCTGGCAGGGTATAACACATCAGCTGAACAGCACTAAGCAGACGTATTAACTATTGCATTAACTACCTTTGACATTACACTTTAAAATACACTATGACACCTGGCTGTGATATATCCTAACAAGAACTACCATCTTGATTATGAACTCAAGAACCTGAAGGTAAGAAATCAAAACTTAGAGGACTGAAAGGAGAAGCAACTGACAGAATGGGGCTGTGGCTCCTTACCAGTGTGGCTTGAGTTACACAATCCAGAAACCTGACCTGAAGCTTTCAGCTTTTGGCAGGACTTCCTCTTCTCTACTTTTCTTTCTTCTGTCCCACCACATTCTCCTCTGAAGGACTTCAGAAAAAGTAGAATTCCATTCTCACACACTACCAGCTTTGTGTGAGGGGCCTGCACCCCCTCCAGCACCAGCACCTCAGCACAAAGTCACTGTATGAAATTCAAGCATTCAGAGATTGCAGACTCCACCCTTCATGCAACACCATGGCCTGTAATTAGCTTTGAACCCTATTTTAAGCCTCATTTGCATTCCAAATTGCCAATTGTGTGCTTTGAAAATACACGGCAAAGCTGAATTAGTCATCTAATAACACCTCTTCAGCTTATAAGCACACACGCCCAAGGGTCTCAAAGCATTTGCAAATCTTGGGGAAGAGCAAAGATGAAGTGCGGAACAGTTAGATGCCCTCACCTGAGTCTGCAGCCGAGCGACAATCTCCTTCCGAGCCTTCATGACTGCTTCCAGCTTGCCAGAGACCATGATTGAAAGGCCCTGGTCCTTTGCAAGAGACAGCTCCAGGTGAGCTCCTGTCTTCTGCATGATGTCAAGGCAGATCTTGGCCTGCTCGCCTTCTCCAAACTGATTCATGTCCTTGTATTTCCTCTCCTCCAGTGGCACATGAAACACCTGCTCAACCACAGAACAGATAAAAGAAGGGCATGGCAAGCAGTCAATATGCTTTTGATTGCCAGCGCCTCCCTCTCTTATTGTCATACAGGACTTCACTGTCATGCTAAGTTCCCAGGTTTGTGCAATCCATCAGCCTTTCCAGTGGAGACACCAGCTGTGACCAGGGAAAGTGCAAGAGCACTGCAGCACGCAGTCTGTCCTACACTGGGCGTCTTCCTAAAGTACATCAGGCAGGCAAAGCGCTAAGCTGTGGGGGGAATACTTTAATGAATTAGCACTCACTACTTTTAATTCTGCACTCCTCCCTTCAGGCCTGCTCCAGCTATTTGTGAAACAAGGATGCAGAGCTTTTTCTGGACAGTTTTCCAACACATCCCTCCCCTCCAGAGCAGTCCTAGCTCTCTGCTGCAGTTCTCCTCCTGCCCCAGGGGAAAGTACGGCAAACAGGCTGTCAATATGACACACTAAGGATTTCATACTCTAGGCAAAGCTTCACTTCACCTACTTTTTGGAGGGAGGAAAAGAGACACCCACTCCCACCAACCTGAGTGATGACAGAAGCCTTTATTGGTCGGATTTTGCTCCAGGGCCCAGCAGGTTCCTGGGCAGCTTCCAAACATGGTGCTTTCTCAGGGAGCGGAGGGAAGGCTTCCTTGTAGGTTGGAGGATCATTCTCTTCTTCAGAGTTTAAAGCTGTAACTGGGGTGAAGCAAACAGGGTAAATGAGATGCTCTCCCCACAGAAATGCCCCTATTCATAGGCAAGTGCAGTTGTATTTAGGCACCACTAACAAGGGAGAGCAAATGACTTGCGTACTACTATTAATCCTATTACAGTTATGCTTGTGGAGCAGCCAACTCTGGAGCATAACTGGCCTCAGCACAGTACAGCCTGCAGTAGATGCCATGAACAACCAGCCTTGTCTGAGCAGGCACTACAGATGCAGGAAAGTGAACGTGGAAGTGAATGGTGGCAGTAAACAGCACATTACTGCCATCTTTGTCAAGAAGGGCTTAATTAGGGGAGAACAGGCTGAGCAGAAAGAAGTGAAAGGAACAGAGCAAGGCTGCAGGTCAGAAGGGGATAAGACAAACATACGCTCAGGACAAAGGCAGAGAGAAGTGCTATAGCTAGGGCAGAGCCCAGGGAAAGCCTGTACCTTATGTTCAACTCAGTTGTGCACTGGGCTGTGCCAAGTGGGCCAGCTTGCAGCTGGAGGATGGTGCTGAAACCCATCAGTGAGTCAGTTAATATAGTCATACTGACCTTCCCCAGCACCTGGCTGAGCAAAGGAAGGAAATGACAGCCCAGCACACTGATCCCATGAGGGTCTCTTGTAGCCCAATGCCCCACTCTTGCATGTGCCCTGTCCCATGGCTGACAGCATTGCTAGCCAGAGCTCTGTGGAGATCTGAGGGTTGCCTCCTCCTGGCTCTGCACTGTGCAGCATCACCACTGTGCTGCTACTGGTAGAAAGCCAGAGTTTGGCGGGCCACCAATCCAGCAACAGAGCATGCAACATCTGCACACTTGTGGGGAACTGGATGCATGGAGCAAGCTTGGGTAACAGCAAGGAACCTTGTCCATGCAGTCTGTATTTAAAGGCACATCACAGGATCTCAACTGTGTTTTCTCACCTTTCACCTGCTGCTGAGCCAGGCCGCTGCGGTGTTCAGCGAAGCTCTCCTGGGTCAAAACTGCCACAGAGCTCATTGTCGACTTCCCACCCACACACAATCCGGGTATGCCACTGGAAGAGACAGAGGTGGCAGCACTATGACCAACACCATTCAAGATGCACGAAAATCACTCCAGGAAGACAAAGTACGTGTACTGAGCACTCTTCCAGTCAGCCTCTTAAAAAGCAGCTACAGTGCCAGTCAGCTGCCCAGTTCACTTGCTGAACCAGATAGGAACTCAGGGGGGATATTTCCTCACAGCACAGTGCTCACTAAAACCAGAACTCCTCATTAAGAAGGCAGAGGATGTGCAACCTAAGAAGGTCACTGGAAAGGGGGACACCAGCATTTGTTAAAGCATACTCCAATTAATCTATCATTTATTAATGGTGTGCAATTTTTAAATGAGTATCCAAAGGTCTGCATAGTCAGTCCAAGACCATTGTGTAACCCTGGAGAGAAAAAACAAAGGGCCCAGGATGCTGCCTCTTCCTGAAAAAGACTTATTTAGGTGCTTGCACTCCTGCTGACTTAGGGGTACACTCAGAAAGCCACTCTCATAAGCAAGCTCAGCAACAGCAAGATCTTCGGCTCTCCCAAAATAAGAACTTACCAGCTAAATGGTCAGTAGCCAGAGAGTCCGTCCTGTAAGCTGCCCGTTTGTCAGCCTGCCAGCTTTTGCTTCATAGAAAAAAAAAAAAAAAAAAAAGGAAAATATTTATGTGACTGCTCCAAGACAACAGGAAAACGTGACACCCCTGTTACTGTAACTTTCAAAAGAGCACCGCCTGTACTGTGTTTCAAACTTGCACCCTATCCAAAATGTTCTCATACTGAGTCACATCTCACCATACTTTACCTGTGATGTTTTACTAGAGCTACAGGCAACACCACTATCTACTTAAACCTCACAGCAGGAAGCCTGGGGTAGCTGCTCTTTCATCACATTGGCTACAAGAGCAGTCATCCAGTATCAGGCAAAAATACAGTCAATTAGTAACAGATGTGCAAGACAGACGTGAAATTTCAGGGTTGCAAGCAAGAGCATCAACATCTAGTCAGAGAAGACTAACAACCTGAAAACCTGCCAACAACACTGCCATCAGTCAGAAGTTAGGAATGTAGTTTAGTGGAGCTTGGATGAATCAACACAGACATCCTCACAAACTAAGACAAACATTCAGGGCTATCCACACACAGCTGCTGGCCAGTCCACCTCTTCATTTTTTATTATAATAAGATCATGCACCAGGCACCGAACTCTGTCTCCAGGCTGAAGTCTGCGAGTTGGAAGAACAAAACCCATGCTGGTTTACATGGACTATTTTAAACACGTACACAAGATGGAACCAGGAAAAAATATACGCTGTTGGTGGGAGCTTTACATCTCTTGTATCTGGATCTGCAGATTTACTGAAAAAGTGTTTAGGAATATAAGTAAAAACACAAAAGCCAGTACAGTACATACTATGCCAGATGTACATACAACAGTTCCCCACACCTGGAGTACCCCCCCAGTGGTTATGCATGCTCTTGCAGGTCTTGCACTCTCCTAAAGTCCAGTGCCTCTGACTGCTCATGGTGGGAGAGGTCCCTCTCCCACACAAACCCTGCAGTGCTGCTCAGACCTTCTTCTGAACAGCAAACTCGGACACTTTTTAGTAAACTCACAGTTGTCATTTCTGACCTCCAATGTGCCAGAAAAGACTCCCAAAAACACAGCATCACTGATGTGGTATCTCAGATTGCACTTAATGTGAGACAGTAAGGGAAGGTGACAGAGGCAAAAGGAGGGAAGAACAAAGAGAGCAGTAATGCAACTGGGCCATACAGGCCTGATCAGCACCTCAGTGAAGGCCAGAGTATTTTTCCCTACTTCAACATACCTCTTATCAGGCACAAGGCAACACCACCTGTGCCAAAGCAACAGAGCTAATGTTGCAATTAATCCTGTAACAATCTGCTACTATGAGGTGGCAGCTACCTGGACAGCCAGCCAGCCATGCTGCTTGAAGCACAGCTGTTGCAGCACACAGAAGCTCTGCAAGACATTTGCTGGTATACACAAAATGGTGGCTAGCAATTTTATCTCAGAGAAATACTCGAGTTCTTCTCGCTGTCCATGGTTATGCCATGGTGTAACACGGGGCTACATGTCCATGGTGCACGACTGCGCAGCTCAGCCTGCTGCAGAACCAAGGAAAGCAAGTTAGTGGCACAGCACCTGTCCCAGACCATTTCAGCAAAGCCTGCAGACTCAGCCGTCGACTCCTCCAGCCCACTGGGTTGCTATCGAGGGTGCCACCACCTCATGGCAAGTTGCAAACAGGAATAAGCAGGAGCAAGCAGCATCCTAGACATCACAAGCAGCTGCCAAGGTCTGGCTATAGCCTTGCTAACAGCATGGATGTGCTTATAACTCTCATTTCTCAGGAAAGCACCACCTGGCTCATCTTGCATGTGCTCTGCTCCTTAGAGGAGGAGGATGAGAAGTGAATGACACCTAATATAGCGCCTGCCTGAGGGCCATGACCTCAGGGCACAGCTGCTGGTTTCACCGTGTCCACACCAGCTGCAGAGATCTTCCTTGCAGCTTCCACCTCAGACAACAGCTAGACATTCAAAGAGAAACCTAAGAGCAGCGTTTATCCGTATGAATTTCTGCTTTGTCACCCATACAGCAAGCTAAGAACAAATGCTCTTCAATTCCAGTAACCCCAAACACCTGGTATATCGTAGGCCACAGGAATTCATCTCTGGCCAAAATCCGAGGTGACCATCAGAATGGTATTTTAAATGTAACGTCACAAACAGCAGCTCAGACATCACATTTGGAGCCTACACCTCCTTAACTTCCCACTTTAGATTTTGAAACTAACGCTACAGCTACGTCATGCTAGTGTGTGGCTGACTGGGTCAACAGGTTTTAAACTGCCTAGTTTATACACCGTCTGTAGTGCTGGCTTTGTGTGCCAAAACAAGTTTCAGAAGTCTAAAGCACACTTAAAATAAAGAGAACAAAATAATCCTAAAAATAACCTCCAGCAAGGGCCAGACCTAACCACACGGGAAACATTTGTATGAAGAGAAACAAAAGCAAAGTCATGAGTTACACTGCCAACACAATCAGTACTCACATGTCATTTAAAACTATATTTAATAAAATATCAGCATTTTATTAATGGAGGTAACTAAAATCAGATGCAGCTAGGATTGCACAGAGCAACAGGGCTGGGGCGGGTGTGGCAGGGCGAGTACTGCACAGAGCAACGGGGGTGGGGTGGTTGTGCCAGCCACTGTCCTCTGCCAGATGTTCACACAAGGCAGGGCAATCGCTTGGTAGATGAGTGGTCATACATGAAAAAACTTGCTTTCTGAAAACTGACTAGCTCTTCCAGACACTGAAGGCCCAGGCCCCTTGACTTTGGGGGGATCACACAGGCGGACAGCTGCTGTGTGGTGGGATGGAGTCTTTCCCTTCACAACGATTCCTGAAGTAGTACATCTGAGGGTGCAACAGAACTGGTGTCTTAGACACAGCCAGACTTGCATCTGACCTAACCCCTGTATTTCCCCTTCCACTAACGCCATGACCCACCACCTTCCCCACCGTCACTTCCTGCCCTTGGACAGGAGGTGTTCTGTGCTTGTGCAGCTGCTCACCAGAGCCCAGCCAACGAGAACG